ATCGGCTTTGTTCGGTTTGGACACAGGGCCACTGTGAGTCAGAACCAATGCATCTATACCTAAGAGTACCACCACCCATCCAGGATGAGAGGAACAACAGAACTGAGACTTTAAGATTAAAAACCAGAGATAGCAGAACATTTTCATCCTTTATAAAGAAGTGCTTATTTCTTCTGAGAATGCAAAGGAATTATTTAGTAATTTTCCCCTCTATACTGATTTATATGCTTATTGAAATCATAAAGTTATGGCAGAACACCCCATAGGTGATTTGTTGACACTGGAAAGCTAAAGGCAGATGTGGACATGTAATGTTGAATATAATCCCAGCACTGCTGGCTGATGTCCCTCTTCTAGCATAGCTCAATCAGAATTACTGCATCGCTGTTTCTTTGCACATTATCAATTAAAAAGAGTCTTATTTTAACATATATGCCATTGATTCTCAAATGAAAAAGAATCCTCCCCCCCAAAAGGGAGTTACTCAGCAGGAAACTGGACAGACAGTGGATCACATCACAGCATTTAAAAACATCTTCTGAGAGCCTCAGTTTTCAGTCTATACAAGCAGCATGTGCGTTGCGAAACACTTGCTCGTAAGGGCACTTATTCAATATTAGATTTGAGAAAGGCAAGCTCTGGAGGTCACCTAGGTGCCCCCACAGAGTAAAAATAACATTCTACTAGCAGAATTATTGTTTTGTATGAAAGAAGAAGGGAGGGGAGCATCCTCTCCAACAGATGTGAAACTCTAATAAGAAAATCCTGTGGCAGTTGCACAGCATCATGAAGTTAAAAAGTACTTTGCAGAGTTCTGGGAACACTAACAGTGACATATGTTTTATGGTCAAAAAGGTCACTTTTATTCTTGTTGCTTCCATTTTAATGTCTGCTTTGGAAATGTTTTATGCAACGAGCCTGTTTTCTACTTCACTGCTCGGATCTTATCACATCTCAAATCAGTCTGCCAAATGCATTTTTAACAAAAGAAGTCATCCGTCCAGAAAAACAAATTCATTTTACTAAAACCTTGTACAGCAATCCATTTATTTTTTTAAAAAAAAAACTTTTTAATGCTTCTCTAAATAGAAAATAAACTAAAAGCAATTGACTAAATTTAAAATTAGGCAACTAAAAGCCATTGTCAATAATTATCCATTAGGATTCTGGGATTAGAATAGAGAAATAGTACACATTCCATGTCATTTCAGTGAATTAATATGACAAACTGGTTTTATACTTTAGTAGTACTTTCATTTTTTGTAAGCTATTTCATTCACACACATTTCCCTCAAGTGCGTCGCAAAGCGTTACTATGGGTTGCTTTGAATGCTAGTATAATAAGTGATTTTTGTCCCTACAACTATAGGCTAAGACCTATGAGCAAGAGACCATTTCCTGTTTGCTACATTTCTTCTCGACCAAAAAGGCAATCTGCAGCCTCTCCAGAGACATCAGCCCTGGGTATAACTGAGCAACCACCTGGAGCCTCCGGTTTACAGTCAGTCCCAGACTGCAGTCTCACTCTATGACAGCACAGGGAGACGTAAGACACGGATGCTTTGTATTCAAGTACAAATAAAATGGGGTTGGGGGCGGTGTAGAAATTAATATTTACTCAAACACTGTATTAGATATTTGAGTAAGCCTTGCATGTTGGGTCGTCATTACTATTTTATGACTTCCATTTATAGATGAGGAACCTGAAGTTGAAAGAATTTAATTTACATGCCTGGAGAAATCCATCTTAACCATCATACTATGCAACCTCCTATTTAAATGCAACTACTCTCTGACTATAATTTTCTGACCTTTAAAAGTTTATATTGCTTAGTATATACATTCTCTGTATTGGTAGCAAACAATCAGGACCTAGTTAATATGGAACTTCAAGTTAACCCTTCCAGCCCTTCCCTCTAGCCGGATCATCCCTCGGAAGGCCCTCCGCCATAGAAATTCTAGAATCACTGCACTCACTAACTTTCTTTTACCATGTATTATATAACAAATGCTGGAACATCTAGCTTTCATTCAAGTTCTTATTGTAATTACTAAATATACAGGAAACTTCTATTCCTTAGATAATGAATCTTCTCCGGGAGAGAGCTTGGGAGACACTGACACCTCCTCACGTCCCCACAACATTTCCAGAGGATCATTGTTTATAACGGTTTTCCAGCATCATCCTCCCTTCTGAAATTCATGCCAGCAATTTTACTTCCCATATGAAACTTTTCATGACAAACTCCTCTAGAAAAATGTCTCCTAAGTCTCGTGTTACTTAATTTTCACAATGTCAACAAATTCACATATGGAAAGGATATGTTTATATAGCACACCGCAAAGATCTAAGCCTCGACTGCTCTCTGGATGAACAGCCCTGCACACATGCACTTCAGTGTCTATCTGTGGGGTGGGAGAAGGGATACTGGAAATGAGACTGAGCAAGTGCTCATAGCTTATGGGCTTTCGGGTACTGAGGGGAAATTGTTTAGGGAACAGTAAGATTCAGCACAGCGGACTTGGCTCAGCAAAAGAGACTCACTATAGTTCTCCTAGAAACTCCAGAATAGTGTTCATAATAAAAACTGCCAGCCTTTCAGTAATTAATTATGCCCTTCTACTAGAAAAGGCCATCAGCTCATATCTCAGGATTAGAAATCTTCTCATTCTCCAGTGACCTCTTTCGTGTTTGGGCAAATGCAACCTTAATAAAGATATATAGATTTCCTCCATAAGACTTTTAAGCTTATAGAAGCTTTTTTTACCTTGAAAGATAATCTTCAGACTTGAAATTAGCTACATATTTTCATAACCCTCTACCAGGAGTGCTTTCTGGATAGTTAGCTTGCCAAAATAGAAATAAAAATGTCTGCTGAATTTAATAAGTGAATTCACTAATGAACATCTTTTTAAGAGTCTGAGATGCTTGAGAACAAATTACCAATTCTAGTGAATGTTCAAAAACCTGAATAGAGAAAAAGAATACTTCACTTATATGAAATCTAAACATTAAAAATATAAAATATAAAACAAGTTTGAAATTATTAAAACCAGATGCTGGATACATAAAAGTTCATTATACTTGTCTCTCTACTTCTTGTACATGTTTGAAAATGTCTATAATAAAAAATGAATAAATATATATGCAAATTGAGAAAAGAAGCTCTCAGAATCCCACATGCTTCAATGACGATGAAATGGGCTAAAACATAAGTTCTGCATGCTGAATGCCTGCACAAAAACAGATTGTGCATCAGAACAAAGGCAGAACTGAAACAGGGACTGTATTTGAGGCCAGGTAAAGCATACACTCAAAATTAGTTCACTGGGCTGAAGAAGACAGGGTAGAATGGAATCACACCTGATAGTTTGTACATACCGAAGCTATGGCTGTAGGAAGTATGCCAGGGGCTATCAATTTTTTTCTCTTTAATAACAACAAAAAGTATTTTAAAATATTTAATGAATATTAATAACACCAGTATTATCATTTAAACACTTAATGTCTATAGATATAACACCAAGAATGAAGTTACTCTTCTCATACTTTGGTAATGTAGTAGGCATAAGTTGGACAAGGTTGGCAGTTCAAACCCACCAGCCACTCCACAGGAGAAAGATGAGGTTATTTGCTCTGGTAAAGATTTAAAGTCCTTATATAGGATCACTATGACGCAGAATCAATTTAATGGCAATGGACTTGAGGGTTTGGGTATGATACAAACATTATATATATATATATATATATATAAATAATTGAGTTGTTTTTCTCTGTTAGTCGGTATTACTTTTTATAAAATTTAACAGCAAAGCAGGCTGTGTGTGTTATATGCATGGTACTAGTGCAGGTTAAAATTTTTGGAAGCATATGAAATATACATATGAGGAACTTCAGGTGCATTGTATTACTTTTTTAATCAATTATAGATTATAGATAAATCACAATTAATGCTAAGACAATATTATCAGAAAATCCTTGAAAAATTGCTAAGAGCACAAAAATACATCTGACAAAAATAAGGACAAGGCTTTAGCAATCATACAAATCACATTTAAATTCTTCAAAAACAGGTAGATTTTAAAACATTTCATAAATGTTCATGGGCTAACTATATCATAAACGCACAGGCAAGTAAAAAAGAAAAAAAAGTGGCAAAACCATCCTCAAATGTACAATTTTACTTATTATTAAACTGTAATCGGTATTAAATAAACTGTGATCAACATTAAAGTAAACCAAAACACCCAATATGCGAGAACAAGGACAGCAAAATATCATGAGAGCGCGTACTTGATCTCTCCCTTCACACACAGCCATCAGATCACTTCCCACTCATAGTGACCCTATAGGACAGGGCAGAACTGCCCCTGTGGGTTTCTGAGGCTGTAACTCTCTACAGGAGTAAAAAGGTCAAGTCTTTCTTCCGCCTATGCCAAGGTAAATATCAACAATCAGTCATGAGACTCGCTCTCGCTAGGGCCAGACAAATCCCCCAAAGCATTTCCAAAAAGAGAACTTTCGGGAGTCAGTATCAACAAGCCACAGATGAAATACCAAATGAAACCTGTTTTCTATTACTGATCTACAAAAAAAAAATAGCCAGAAACCATTAAACAGACGATAGACAACTATTTTAAAATCAGAAGCTACTCTGGTTCCCTCAAAAACAGGATCTAGATGGAAACAATACCCACAAACCAAAATGAATGCAGTGTCAAACTTAGACCCATTAGACAAACAGAATGAGATGGGCTGCTTTCTCTTGAGAAGTCCAGGAATGTACTCAGGCCATTAATAAGAATACTGTTAAGACAGAAAAACAATATCCCTTTCAATATGGGAAATGCATTTTCTACTCACAGAGGTATAGGAGTGACCTAAACATGAAGAGTCTGGGATTTTCCAGGGAGATTCTAGAATATTTTATAGCCAACAGCGAAATTAGAAGTAAGAGTTGGTCCACAAGCCTAGCAAAGATACAAAACTTAACACTTACTTTTGCAAAAGCAGCGAAAATGTCGAAGGAAGGTGGCAGCTGAGAAGCGTTCTGTATTTCTTCTTTCATGAAATGCTGAAATGTCAGTGCGAGCTGCCTGAGGCCTTCTTTCTTATCTTCAGTCAGTTTGTTCATATCTGTTTTTTAAAGAGAAAATAAACAGCACAGTCACACAGTGAACTGTTAAGGGAGAATTTTCTGGGTCCAATGCGGCTGTGAAGACATATTTCCTAGCCTAAATTCCGCTCTAAGGAAGAACAAGCACATGCCCTATTAATTTTTAAAAACTACAAATCATAATTTTTTATAACCTAAATTCTGCCACACAGAATATATAAAATAAAATTTTAAATCTATCAAGCAAAATAAATGCACATGCAAGTAAAAAAGCATAAAAATCAAAGTTAGAAAAGTACATGTTAATAGATTTTATATATCTTGTGCAAACATATAAAATCCAATGATTCTAATAAAGTTGGTCAATTTGAGCACACTTTTCCATTAAGCAGTTTACAATAAGTAGCATGATTAACTAAGAAGTAGCTAAAAAGACCAAGTGAGAGCTAAAATGTTCAAAAATTTTCAATAAGGTGAAATTAGGCATATACATAGTACACCAAGTAGGACACATGGGCCAGCTGGGGGAATTTCAAATTCTACTTATTTCTAGTTTAAATAAACATGATCTAGTGCTGCTTCCGTGTCAATCAGGAAAAAATCCTAAAGCCAGTGTTATCCTTTTCAAAATTCACTTTAAAACATATCACAACCAAGGGCTCAATAGAAAGTAAATGTCTAGAAAAGTATGAGGGCAACATATGTACAAACACACCTGATTCAATTGATGTCTGGATTGTGATAAGGCTTGTATGAGCCCCCAATAAAATGATTAAAAAATATATATATCACAAATGGCTAAGAGTGCACAATTTAATCAATGTCTGAGAGTATTTAACTTAAGGTAGAGTATATGCCATGGCTACTGCGTTGGGCTGATGTTCACAGTAAAATTCTATCATAAAATATGTTAATTACCTAGCAGTGATACAAGAAAATATGACCAATTAATTCTCTGTTAAAGTTTGAAAAGATACATCAACGTGAACTATAGTATAACTGTTGCTGATGTCAGCTCTACATATTTTCTTTAAATTACCTGTTCAACAGAACAATTAACCCAATGGTGTATTAAGCAATAATTTATTAGCATTGGCACTTGTGGTCGCACAACCATAAATCTGTACAAGATCATCTTCATATTTCCCTCCATTCAGAAATATTAAACTATATCATGAATTTACCCTCTGGGTTCCAGCGAACTTGTGATTAAAATCAGTTATAAGTTCAACAAAGATCTCCATCAATATGACAGTAGAACAACCCCTACATTTGCTTGGGTACAGTGGTTAAGCACTGGGCTGAGAATTGGAAGGTCAGAGGTTCAAACTCACCACCCACTCCACAGAGGAGGTATGTGGCAAACTGCTTCCAACAAGATCATAGCCTGGGAAAGCCTATGGGGTGCCTCTGCTTGACTCTATCTGGGGCTCAGTGATTCTGAATCAACTCAATGGCAACAGCTTTGCTCTTTTTTTTCTTTGTTTTCACTTTTGTTTTACTTAACACTTGGAAAATCTGTGAGACACTCTACTAGTTGAGTCGCCACCCATGGGATTTCAGGAGACTTAACGAACTAGCTCTCTCAATGCTGTCAGAAACCTTAAATTATCTATTACTGTTATCTCCCCTGAATACCTAAAGTATCAAACCAAAACACCGTACTTGCTGTCAAAGTCCACGTTGGCACACAGTCACCCTGCAGGGCAGAGTCGAACTGCCCCACAGGGCCTTCAAGGCTATGATCTTTACTGCAAGCAGACAACTCCATCTTTTACCCAAGAAAGACTGGTGGGTCCAAACCAACAGCCTTTCAGTTGACAGTCAGTCACTTCACCACTGTGCCATCAGGGCTCCTCATCTAATGGGTCAGCGAAACTAAAACTTTCCTGGAACTCCCTGTTTACAACTTCATTCTTCCCTGATATCAACAAGAAATGAGGAAAGAGAACCAAGAGGAGGAAAGGAAAAGAGGGAGAGAGAAATAAAATGTGTTAGGCTGGGTTGACAAGAGAAACAAATCCAGAGACACTTATATATGTGGAAGAAAGAGCTATATATTAAGAAATAATTATATATCAAGAAAACATCCCAGCCCAGTCTAACTCAAGTCCATAAGTCCGATACGAGTCCATAAGTCCCTCTTCAGATTCCTGCAGCTACATGCAATGATACAGAATGCAGGAAGATCACAGGTTGGTGGGTGAAAAGTCTTGTGGATCCAATGGTGGTGGAAGCATCATAAGGCTCTAGCAGCTCTCAGGGTGGCCAGAATCCAGCAAGGTCAAGAAAGAGAGAGAGAGAGAGAGACACTGGCCTCCAGAGACCACATTCAAGTGAGATGATCTGGCTGCAAGACTAAACTTCACCAATGGATTTTTATCTATCTTCAAGTTCACATGAAATTATGTAACTACCACATAGAAGAAAAGTATTGTGTCAAATGGACTAACGTTTACATCCCCAACATCCTAACCTGAACCTGTCATGACATCTCACCACCATTTCAGATGGCCAACGTTACTATTTTCTTTTAAGTTAATGCATTAGCAGTATACAAAAGCACAATAACTTTTGTTAGATGTGCCTCACATAAAGACTATGAAAAACAGAGTTGAGTCATTCACCAGGCCATCTAATCTCACTGCCATTGAGTCGATGCAGACTCATAGTGACCCTATAGAACAAGGTAGACAGGCCCCTGTGGGTTTCCAAGACTAACTCTTTATGGGATTAGAAAGCCCCATTTTTTTCCCATGGATCAACTGGTGGTTTCAAACTGCTGACTTTGCTGTGAGCAGCCCAACCACTATGCCACCAGGGATCCTAAGCCATTCAATAACTATAGGCTATATTGATTGTATATATATACAATATACAATATATATATAGTATATATATACTATATTGATTGTATCAGTAGGCCAAGAAACGATAACTTACTTGACTCCATATCATAGAATGAATAAAGTTTCTCAGATTCCGAGGGGGTTTCTTCCATCTGTGAAGGAAAAAAGAAAACACTAAAATAACTATTGTAAGTGCTCCAATGCATACATGAAAATTGGTTTGATTGCCCTTATTTAAATGAAAGTCTACTAAGAACTTTCTACTTATCCTTTCTCTTCATCACTTTCTTCAGATAACTTACCCAGTAAAAATTTAAAATAAAATCTAAGTTAAAATTTAACCATCAGTTTAATTCTCAAGTACAAAAATATTACTGTACAAGGAGCTACATTTACATTCTTAAACATTCAAACTTACAAAATGTTAGATGCCATTACCCCACACACACAAAATAAGCAATAAATCCCAGGTCAAAACCAAGCTGAGCTGGAGTAATAAGTTTGCGGGGCTGAGAGGAAGGTCCAATAGATAAGGACTTCACAGAATCCAATGTTTGGGAAGCACAGGAAAAAAAGCTTAAGACGGCCATCAAGCTCAGAAGCAACAAAGCCCACATGGAAGAAGCACACCAGCCTAGCAACCACGAGGTGTCGAAGGGATCAGGTGTAAGG